AGAAACGCCCCTTGACTTTTCTGTTTGGGCCTCTTTCTGCTGAAGCCGCTGTGACCTTCGTACAGACTGGGAGACAAATCTATCTCTCACTATCTGTTCTCTCCGGACCTCATTATCTAGCCCAGGTGGGGAGATATCACGGCTAACTTCCAAAACATTCTCTTCTAACTGTTGGGTTTCGTTTTCATTCCCACTGAGCTCTGCATCAACAACAGATTCCACACTGTCAGGGTCAGGGAAAGCTTGCTCAGTTTGAAAAACTATCGGAGAATCCTGTTCACACAGATCAGGATCAGGCTGAACCCCAACAGGTGCTTCCATGATGTCTTGGTGGAAGAGCGTGTTGGTGATGACAAGGTTGTGTTCCACACATTTGGTGAGAAGCAGAATGCCATTTGTGTTGCTATTTCCAACTCTGCCTTTTCCTATGGTCCCTGGCCACAGGTCGAAGCCTCGTCTGACTCTTGCATTAAAATCCCCCAGGAGGATGATTTTGTCCTTAGGTATCACCGATAGGATGGTGTCTAGCTGACAGTAAATTTTTTCCTTGATGTCTTCATTAGCATCTAGTGTCAGTGCATAGATTACCTGTTGGTTTTTGGCAAGGGCTAAGTGTCATTCATTAATAACTATGGGTGCTTCGGTCAGGTGCTTCACCAGGTCATTTCTGATAGCAAAGGCAACTCCATGCATTCTTCACTCTTCTTCAGGCAGTCCCTTTCAGAAGAAGGTGTAGCCTCCTTTTTCTTCCTTCAGCTGTCGCTCTCCGGGTCTCCTGAAGTCCTGCTATGTTGGTGTTAAAGCGTCCCACTCCCTTGCAATGATAGCAGTTCTGCATTTGGGGTGTTCAATGTTGGGGTGTTCACAGACAATGTTGCCCAACAGTGTCTGTGCATTCCATGTTCCAAAATTCATTTTTCTTTTTGGCCGCAGGGTGGTGACCCCTCTGGACGCAGCAGTCCAGTCAGGGATAAGAGAGGCAGACTATATTTAGGGCACCTTTTCTAACTCCTTCCCCGTATGGGGTGAGCAGAGTGGATCCTAAAAAGGGCTGTTTAGTCATAGATACAGCTGCCGAACTACTCAACTTCCTCGGACCTTGAGGTAGAATGATTGAATCCATATCCACCATCCATGTGCCATTCTGTGACTAGGGGCTTCCAGATTTCACAGTCCTGCCCCCGTCACCACTCGCTGATCACCATGGAACTTTGATGGTTTTTTATTTTTCTTGGAAGACCCCTGTACATGAGGGTTTATGGTTGGAAGTCAGTGCACAGCCTATCAACACACAGTCTTCAGGTGGATTTGGATTACCTGATTTGAAAACATATTATGAAGCATGCGGACTTAGCTGGATTAAAGATTGAACTACGTTAACAAAGAAGAATGTGTTGACACTAGAAGGGGCGGACCTGAGACGGGGTTGGCATGCCTACTTGTGGTATGATAAAATTAAAATTGAAAAAAACTTCACCAACCACTATATTAGAGCGGGACTAATTAAAATATGGGAAAAATATAAAAGAAGATTTTACAATAACACACCACTATGGCTGTCACCTCTGGAGGCTTTTCACAGGAGAGAGTTAGGCTGGGAGACCTGGCCAACATATGAGGATTTATTGAGGAAAGAGAATGGGAAATATGAATTGAAAGAAGAAAACGAGATTAAAGAAATTTTTACTACCCTATCATGGCTAAATTATAGGCAAATCCGGGACTGCTATAAGACTGACAAAGAATTAAACTTCGGGGCTAAAGAAGGTTTCTGGGACACTATTATGATGACAAACAATAAAATAATTACAAGAATTTATAAAAAATTATTAGAATGGACAACAGAAACTGAGCAAATAAAAGAAACTATGATTAAATGGGCACAAAACATAGGACATCAAATTCGCTTAGATCAATGGGAGAGGGTATGGAATCAGAAAATGAAATACACCTACTCCTATAACTTGAAGGAAAACCAACTAAAAATGATACATAGATGGTATATTACGCCACAAAAGATCTCAAAATTCCACAAAAATTCATCGGACAGATGTTGGAAATGCGAACAGCACACAGGATCCTTCTTTCACATGTGGTGGTCTTGCCCAAAAGCTAAGAAATATTGGAAAATAATACATACTGATATTCAAAAGATACTTGACATAAAAATGAGAAAGGAACCAGAGTTCTTCTTGTTGGGAATGTTTGATATTATAGGAGACAAAAATAAAGACATTATTTTCAATTACCTAATCACTGCAGCCAGAATTGTCTATGCCAAGAACTGGAGGCAGAAAGAAATACCACAAATAGAAGAATGGCAAAGCAAGATACTTGAAATAATGAATATGGATGAGTTAACATACTGGCTAACGCCGAACGAAGGAAAACCGAAAAAACAAACAAACTGGGACTCAGTGAAAAATTATCTTAAACAACAAAAAATAGAGGTCATTTCTTGATATGTAACAAGTCAGAAGATAAATAACTGTGTCACAGGAATGCAGTCTGAAATATTGAGAATGAAAGCCGGTTTTTTTTACCCGGCTTTCACTATCTCTTTTTTAACTTTACACCTTGTTTTTTAAACAAATATAGAAGATCTTCAAAGAACAGATGGAAGTCCACCCATATTTTTATTTTTATTTTTATTTTTACTTTTACTATTGATTTTTGATTTTTTTTTTGTTTTTTTCTCTTTGATTGGACTTTTTGATTTTTTCAGGATATTTTTTCCTTTTTTCTCTTTTTCTCCCTTTCCCCTTCACTGACCATCTCTTGTTTATTATTATTTCCTACTTTCCTATCTCCTCCACAATTATTCCCCCACTTTCCATGTATACACATTATAATGCAATAATATATATATATATATATATATATATATATATATATATATATATATATAAAAAAAAAAGATTATGTAGAATGGAATGATAGAGTAACTTTATTGTCGTTGTACACGGCAAAACCAAATCCAATGCTTTCCTCAGCAAACATCACAACACCAACACACCCATCCCTCCACACCCCAACCACCACCACCCAGCCCCCAATGCAACATCAATGCAAAGCCACGGAGTCTTGTATAGTTACAGCTCCGGGATAAAAGCTATCTCTCAGTCTGCTATCTCTCTATTGAAACATCTCTCTCTCCATTAATATTATATATTGAAAGTCTCATATGGGGTGGTTTAACCTCTGGCTTGCTAGTTAAACTAAATTACTGTGTCACAAAAGGATGTATTTCTAAAAAGAGTTTCACCAACATGAAAAGTCTGGAAAGCTCTATCTGGGAAACTGTCTTTGGAGTCAACACCGCTGTTCTCTCCAATGTGAATTCTATGTCTATATAGATTTCAACTCCCAGAGAAGCTTTTTCCACACACAATGTGTTTATAGGGTTTCTCTCCCAGTCTAAGTCCTTTGATGTGAATGTAGACCTGAACTCTGAGTGAAGCTCTTTCCACACTCCAGGCATGAATAGGGTTTCTCCCTAGTGCGAGTCCTTTGATGTGAACGTAGACTTCTACTCTCAGTGAAGCTCTGTCCACACTCCAGGCATGTATATGGTTTCTCTGTAGTGTGAGTCCTTTGATGCAAATGTAAATCGGAACTATGAATGAAGCTCTTTCCACACTCCAGATATGTATAGGGGTTTCCCCCAGTGTGAGTGCTTTGGTTTGAAAGAGCAAAGCTCTTTCAACACTCCAGGCATTTATAGGGCTTCTCCCCAGTGTGAATCTTTTGATGTGAATGTAGATTTCCACTCTGAGTGAAGCTCTGTCCACACTCCAGGCATGTATAGGGTTTCTCCCCAGTGTGAGTCCTTCGATGTGAACGTAGACCCGTATGGTCAGAGAAGCTCTCTCCACACTCCAGGCATGTATAGGGTTTCTCCCCAGTATGAATCCTTTGATGTGAACGTAGATTTCCACTCTCAGTGAAGCTCTTTCCACACTCCAGGCATTTATAGGGTTTCTCTCCAGTGTGACTCCTTTCATGTTTATGTAGATCTGAATTATGAGCAAAGCTCTTTCCACACTCCAGGCATGCATAGGGTTTCTCTCCAGTGTGAATCCTTTGATGTGAACGTAGACTTCCACTCTGAGCGAACCTCTGCCCACACTCCAGGCATGTATAGGGCTTCTCCCCAGTGTGAATCCGTTGATGTGTACGTAGACTTCCACTCGTAGTGAAGCTCTGCCCACAGTCCAGGCATGTATAGGGTTTCTCCCCAGTGTGAGTCCTTTGATGTGAACGTAGACTCGAACTATCAGTGAAGCTTTGCCCACACTCCAGGCATGGATAGGGTTTCTCCCCAGTGTGAATCCTTTGATGTGTACGTAGATTTCCTCTCTGAGTGAAGCTCTGCCCACACTCCAGGCATGTATAGGGTTTCTCCCCAGTGTGAGTGCTTTGATGTGAACGTAGATTTGAACTATCAGTGAAGCTCAGCCCACACTCCAGGCATGTATAGGGTTTCTCCCCAGTGTGAATCCTTTGATGTGTATGTAGATTTCCACTCTCAGTGAAGCTCTGCCCACACTCCAGGCATGTATAGGGTTTCTCCCCAGTGTGACTCCTTTGATGTGAACATAGACTTGAATTATCAGTGAAGCTTTGCCCACACTCCAGACATGTATAGGGTTTCTCCCCAGTGTGAATCCTTTGATGTGTACGTAGATTTGAACTCTGAGTGAAGTTCTGCCCACACTCCAGGCATGTATAGGGTTTCTCCCCAGTGTGAGTCCTTTGATGTAAACGTAGACTTGAACTTTCAGTGAAACTCTTTTCACACTCCAGGCATGTATAGGGTTTTTCCCCAGTGTGAATCCTTTGATGTTTATGTAGATATGAACTCTCAGAGAAGCTCTTTCCACACTCCAGGCATGTATAGGGTTTCTCCCCCGTGTGAATCCTTTGATGTCTATCTAGATCTGAACTCTCGGAGAAGCTCTTTCCACACTCCAGGCATGTATAGGGTTTCTCCCCCGTGTGAGTCCTTTGATGTCGCTTCAGATGACATCTCCAAGTGAAATTCTTCCCACATTCCAGGCATATAAACGCTTTCTCCTTCATGCCAGCCATGATATGGGTGTTTAATTGCAATACAGATGCTTCAGTCTTCTTTTTTCCTTCTTTTTTCAGCAAGACCCTCACCTAGAGAGATGTTCTTCGTCTTATATTATCGATTTCATTGCTGCATCCAAGGGCTGGCTCCATAGAATCCTCATTTCCCTGGTTAAGGAAGAAGCAAAAGATCAAGGATGAAGGCGAGAACCTTCCTTTACCTCCACGATTTCCCCCTTTCCCTTTATGGGTCATGTTGAAAATGGAAACACCCAGAAACACAAACTTCAGGGTCTTCAGAGGTTCTGTTGGACAATGAAGCAAGTGGAGTGTCTCTATCCCTGTGGAATAATGTCCAGGGTGGGAGAAAGAACCCTTGTCTGCTTGAAGCAGGTATGAATGGCCCGGCATTTCTTTGTTTTCAGATAAGATTCTGTGTCCAGCACTCAGAAACAGGAGAACTCCAGACAGCAAGCAATCAGGTGCCAGTTAACACCTCCCAAACAGAGGGTGCCTCCAGGAAACAGAGGCCAGGCCTCCTCTCTGCAGATATCCTCACTGCTTGACTCTGCAGACTTCATGGCTACTCCAATGCTAATTCAAGCTTGGTAATGACAACATTCACCCTTACTTCAAACAGACAAGGGTTCTTTCTCCCGTCCTGGATATTATTCCACAGGAATATATACACTACTCCCCTTGCGTCATTGCCAGCAGAAGCTCTGAAGTTGCAATTAGCCACAGGTTCAAGCAACTTCAGGAGAGAATGCTGCTGGATTTAATATAATCTGTGGCAATGAAAGGTAGAATGAATAAATAGAGTCAATAATTTTGGAAAAACCAGTAAAATATTAAGGCATGCAATGACTAACTACCTGCCTGCTGGATTGTAATTAAAAGTCGCTAATTCAAACTGAAAAGAAAACTGTGATAAGAACTGGACAGTGATAAGACAAATGTTTACAGTGTTCAGAAGGAAATCAACACAAAGCTAACACCAATCAAGAAGAGTCAACATCTGTCCAGGAAACTGAGATGGAGCCTGGATGGAAGAGGTCTATCATTCATTTACAACTCTGGGACTACATCAGCAGAATACTTGTATAAAAGACTCAATCTAATAATGCTCAAATTGTGACAGACCCGAGGAGTCTGGTTCACCCGCCATGCTCTGCTCCATGGGAAGGAGAGAGGTGGTGTATTCGGAGAGTGGCAGATTTGCAAGTGAGCGGTCTGGTCACTTTGGCCTTCTCTCTCCAGGGAAGAGGAAGAAGTGTGCTTTTGGAGTCTTGGATTTTGTGCAGGGAGTCAGGTTCTGCTGTATGGAAAACAGGGATCTGGTCCTTGGCATTGCGCTTAGGGAAAGAAGTTTTGAAGTTAGGGAAGTTTTGGAACTGTGCGTTGGCAGGCTGCAGGGAAGCAGGGCCTGGCCTAAACAGGTGCTTCTCCAAGGAGGGAGTAAAGGATATGGTAGTATTTGGATGCATGGTGATGGATGCATACACATGTGTGTGAATGGTGATTGAAAATGTAATTCCCCTTTATTTGACTGATGAGCCAATGTAACTGTAAGTTGTTTGTGAATCTAATGTAGGAGCTGCCTATCTTTGTGACCGCTACGAACCTACACGATCTTCCTCTAGGAACCTACACGATCTCCAAGATCCTCTCTCGCTTCCACCCCCGTCTCAAGCACGATTGGTGAGGATGAGGGAGAGGGCCTTCTTGGTTGTGGCCCCCCGGCTCTGGAATTCCCTCCCCAGGGAGATCAGGCGAGTTAAAGACGTGGATGTTCTGCTGTGCTTTTGAGTAGACAATTCCTTAGATAGTTGGCCCCGGCTCGGACCCACAAGCGTGACCTCGCACCCTATTGCTGCCATAGGACCTATGCAGTTTCGTTATTTATTTATTGAAAACATTTATATCCCGTCCTGAAGGGGGGACTCGGGTCAGCTTACAATTGGTAATCATTAGATGCCGACAAAGAACTATTACGGCACAGCAATTAACATAAAGAAGTCAACAACAGTAAAAACACATTGAAAATATATAAAAAATAATGGCCCTTAAAATAGTAAGCAATATATAGAACACAGATATCGATTACTAAGATACACAAAGTATTATGTTATTGTTGTTGAAACTGCAAATGTGATGTCATATGACAGGTTTATTACTTATAAACACAATATAGAGGAACAACTAATTGTGGCTGCTGAGATAGGAATGTTGTTGTTGTGTGCTTTCAAGTTGTTTCAGACTTAGGTTGACCCTGAGCAAGGGGCGGGGAAATGACCTTGGATCCGGCCCCCGGGCCTTCGTTTGAGGACCCCTGCTTAGGTTCTTTTTATTGGGCAAAAACTAACAAAATGAAGCTCAACAGTGACAAATGCAAGATACTCCACTTAGGCAGAAAAAAATGAAATGCAAAGATACAGAAGGAGGGACGTGTGAAAAAGATCTTGGAGTCCTCGTGGACAAGTTAAACATGAGCCAACAGTGTGATGCGGCAGCAAAAAAAGCCAAGATTTGGCCTGCATCAATAGGAGTATAGTGTCTAGATCAGTGGTTCTCAACCTGGGGTCCCCAGATGTTTTGGGCCTACTCCCAAAAATCCTAACAGATGGTAAACTAACTGGGATTTCTGGGAGTTGTAGGCCAAAAACATCTGGGGACCCCAGGTTGAGAACCACTGGTCTAGATCCAGGGAAGTCAGCTCCTCCTTGTCTCCTACATAGGTCATCAGTTGGGGCCGCTCCCCCCCCCCCCCACACACACACACACCACCAGAAGAGAGAAGGGGCCAAGGGACAGTTCCACCTTGCCTCCTGTGCTATGCTAATACTATAATATAATGTAATATAATATATTGTATATACATATAATATTTATAATATTATAATGTAATACAATACAATACTACTAATAATATATTATAATTATATATTTTATAATTTATATATTTTAATAATAATATTACAATACAATGGTATAGTACAATACAGTAATATTGATATTGTACTACGATAATAATATAATATATTGTATGTAAAACAGTCAGTTGAGCAAAGTAAAATAAGACAGTCAATTATCAGTCAGGAACCAGGAGGGTTGCAAAAATCCAATCAACAAGTCCACAGGAGTTAGAGTCTTTCAGTTCCAAAAGGTTGCAAACACCAAAGTCCCTTGAAGAAATAGCAGGAAACTTGAACCATTAAATCCCAATGCAGGAGCTTGAAAACAGGACCAACCATATACAAGAATCTCAGCATGAACATGAATCCCGGGCAGAAGTGAACAGGAATCTTAGCATGAACAAGAAGGCATGGATACCAGGCATGAAACAATAGGCATGGTTACACATGAAAACCAAACGCTGAACTCACTGAAGAGTATAGATTCACAGGCCCTATATTTATTCCGAAAGTCATAGCAAAAGCATTCTGTTTCCCTTGGGAAACCTCTCCCTGACCCCTTTTTTCTCTTAATCTTTCAGACCATCTTCTCCCCACTTCCAGGTGGAAATGTTGATTGATTTGACTTTTCCTATCAAAGAGTGTCTGGTCTTTCCTTGGCTTGCCAATTAGTACATTCCTTTCACTATCACTATGCTTTCCTTAGCACACATCACAAAACCAACACACGCCCCTCCACACCCCAACCACCCCCACACAGCCCCCAATGCAACATCAATGCAAAACCACTGAGTTCTAAATACTTACAGCTCTGGAATAGAAGCTATCTCTCAGTCTGCTATCTCTCTTTTGAAATGTCTTTCTATATATTATATTATTATATTATATATTGAAAGTCTTATATGGTATTGTTTTAATCTCTGGTTTGCTAGTTAAACTGAATTACTTTGTCTCAAAACGATGCATTTCTAAAAAGTGATTCACCAACATGAAAAATCGAGAAAGCTCTATCTGAGAAACTCTCTTTGGAGTCAAACACCGCTGTTCTCCCCAATGTGAATTCTGTGTCTATGAAGATTTCAACTATCAAAGAAGCTTTTCCCACACAACATGCATTTATAAGGTTTCTCCCCAGTGTAAGTCCTTTGATGTGAATGTAAACTTGAAGAATGGGTGAAGCTCTGTCATCACTCATGGCATTTATAGGATTTCCCCCCAGTGTGAGTCCTTTCATGTGTATGTAGATTTCCACTCTGAGTGAAGCTCTTTCCACACTCCAGGCAGGTATAGGGTTTCTCCCCAGTGTGAATCCGTTGATGTGAACGTAGATGTCCACGCTCAGTGAAGCTCTGCCCACACTCCAGGCATTTATAGGGTTTCTCCCCAGTGTGAATCCTTTGATGTGAACGTAGACTTCCACGCTCAGTGAAGCTCTGCCCACACTCCAGGCATTTATAGGGTTTCTCCCCAGTGTGAATCCTTTGATGTGATGTAGATCTGAACTCTCAGAGAAGCTCTTTCCACACTCCGGGCATGTATAGGGTTTCTCCCCAGTGTGAATCCTTTCATGTAAACGTAGACTACCAACTCTCAGTGAACCTCTGCCCACACTCCAGGCATGTATAGGGCTTCTCCCCAGTGTGAGTCCTTTGATGTGAACGTAGATTTCCACTCTGAGTGAAGCTCTGCCCACACTCCCGGCATGTATATGGTTTCTCCCCAGTGTGAATCCTTTGATGTAATCGTAGACCTGAACTATCAGTGAAGCTCTTTCGACACTCCCGGCATTTGTAGGGTCTCTCCCCAGTGTGAATCCTTTGATGTAATTGTAGACTTCCACTCTTAGTGAAGCTCTGCCCACACTCCAGGCATTTATAGGGTTTCTCCCCAGTGTGAATCCTTTGATGTGAACGTAGATTTCCACTCTCAGTGAAGCTCTGCCCACACTCCAGGCATTTATAGGGTTTCTCGCCAGTGTGAATCCTTTGATGTGAACGTAAACTTCCACTCTTAGTGAAGCTCTGGCCACACTCTAGGCATGTATAGGGTTTCTCTCCAGTGTGAATCCTTTGATGTGAACATAAACTTCCACTCTGAGTGAAGCTATTTCCACACTCCAGGCATATATAGGGTTTTTCCCCAGTGTGAATCCTTTGATGTTTATGTAGACCTGAACTCTCAGAGAAGCTCTTTCCACACTCCAGGCATGTATAGGGTTTCTCCCCCGTGTGAATCCTTACATGTGATCGTAGACTACCGCCTTGAGTGAAACTCTTCCCACATTCCAGGCATATCAATGCTTTCTCCTTCGTGTCAGCCATGATATGGGTGTTTGATTGCAATACAGATGCTTCAGTCTTCTTTTTTCCTTCCTTATCTGTATGTGAGGTCAAGATTTCAGCAGGACCCTCACCTAGAGAGATGTTCTTCTTCCAATATTATTGATTTCATTGCTGCATCCAAGGGGTGGCTCCATAGAATCCTCATTTCCCTGGTTAAGAAAGAAGCAAAAGATCGAGGATGAAGGCGGGAAACTTTCTTTACCTCCACGATTTCCCCCTTTCCCTTCATGGGTCATGTTGAAAATGGAAACACCCAGAAATGCAAACATCAGGGTCTTCAGAGGTTCTGTTGGACAATGAAGCAAGTGGAGTGTCTCTATCCCTGTGGAATAATGTCCAGGGTGGGAGAAAGAACCCTTGTCTGCTTGAAGCAGGTGTGAATGGCCCAGCATTCCTGCGTTTTCAAATAAGATTCTGTGTCCAGCACTCAGAAACAGGAGAACTCCAGACAGCAAGCAATCAGGTGCCAGTTAACACCTCCCAAACAGAGGGTGCCTCCAGGAAACAGAGGCCAGGCCGCCTCTCTGCAGATATCTTCACTGATTGACTCTGCAGACTTCATGGATACCAATTCAAGCTTGCTCATTGCAACATTCACCCTTGGTTCCAACAGACAAGGATTCTTTCTCCCGCAGTGGATATTATTCGACAGAAATATATACACTACTCCCCTTGCTTCGTTGCCAACAGAAGCTCCGAAGGTGCCATTAGCCACAGGTGCAGGTAACTTCAGGAGAGAATGCTGCTGGATGTAATATAATCTGTGGGAATGAATGGTAGAATGAATAAATAGAGTCAATAATTTTGGAAAAACCAGTAAAATATTAAGGCATGCAATGACTAACTACCTGCCTGCTGGATTGTAATTAAAAGTCGCTAATTAGAACTGAAAAGAAATCTGTGATAAGAACTGGACAGTGATAAGATAAATGTTTACAGTGTTCAGAAGGAAATCAACACAAAGCTAACACCAATCAAGAAGAGTCAACATCTGGCCAGGAAACTGAGATGGAGCCTGGATGGAAGAGGTCTATCATTCATTCACAACTCTGGGACTACACCAGCAGAATACTCCTATAAAAGACTCAATCCAATAATGCTCAAATTGTGACAGACCCGAGGAGTCTGGTTCACCCGCCATGCTCTGCTCCGTGGGAAGGAGAGAGGTGGTGTATTCGGAGAGTGGCAGATTTGCAAGGGAGCGGTCTGGTCACTTTGGCCTTCTCTCCCCAGGGAAGAGGAAGAAATGACCTTGGATCCGGCCCCCAGGCCTTCGTTTGAGGAGCCCTGCTTTAATGCCCAGGTTCTTTTTATTGGGCCAAAACTAACAAAATGAAGCTCAACAGTGACAAATGCAAGATACTCCACTTAGGCAGAAAACATGAAATGCAAAGATACAGAAGGAGGGACGTGTGAAAAAGATCTTGGAGTCCTCGTGGACAACAAGTTAAACATGAGCCAACAGTGTGATGCGGCGGCAAAAAAAGCCAACGGCCTCAATAGGAGTCTAGTGTCTAGATCAGTGGTTCTCAACCTGGGGTCCCCAGATGTTTTGGGTCTACAACTCCCAGAAATCCTAACAGCTGGTAAAGTAACTGGGATTTCTGGGAGTTGTAGGCCAAAAACATCTGGGGACCCCAGGTTGAGAACCACTGGTCTAGATCCAGGGAAGTCAGCTCCTCCTTGTCTCCTACATAGGTCATCAGTTGGGGCCGCTCGCCCCCCCCCCCACACACACACACACCACCAGAGTGAAGAGAGAGGGGGCCAGGGGACAGTTCCACCTTGCCTCATGTGGTATGTTAATACTATAATATAGTTCCAAAAGACTGCAAAGACCAAAGTCCCTTGAAGAAACAGCAGCAAACTTGGAACCATTAAATCCCAATCCAGGAGCTTGAAAACAGGAGCAACCACATACAAGAATCTCAGCATGAACATGAATCCCGGGCAGAAGTAAACAGGAATCTTAGCATGAACAAGAAGGCATGGATACCAGGCATGAAACAATAGGCGTGGTTACACATGAAAACCAAACGCTGAACTCACTGAAGAGTATAGATTCACAGGCCCTATATTTATTCCGAAAGTCATAGCAAAAGCATTCTGTTTCCCTTGGGAAACCTCTCCCTGACCCCTTTTTTCTCTTCATCTTTCAGACCATCTTCTCCCCACTTCCAGGTGGAAATGTTGATTGATTTGACTTTTCCTATCAAAGAGTGTCTGGTCTTTCCTTGGCTTGCCAATTAGTACATTCCTTTCACTATCACTATGCTTTCCTCAGCACACATCACAAAACCAACACACTTGCCCCTCCACACCCCAACCACCCCCACACAGCCCCCAATGCAACATCAATGCAAAACCACTGAGTTCTGTATACTTACAGCTCTGGAATAGAAGCTATCTCTCAGTCTGCTATCTCTCTTTTGAAATGTCTTTCTATATATTATATTATTATATTATATATTGAAAGTCTTATATGGTATTGTTTTAATCTCTGGTTTGCTAGTTAAACTAAATTACTTTGTCTCAAAACGATGCATTTCTAAAAAGTGATTCACCAACATGAAAAATCGAGAAAGCTCTATCTGAGAAACTCTCTTTGGAGTCAAACACCGCTGTTCTCCCCAATGTGAATTCTGTGTCTATGAAGATTTCAACTATCAAAGAAGCTTTTCCCACACAACATGCATTTATAAGGTTTCTCCCCAGTGTAAGTCCTTTGATGTGAATGTGAACTTGAAGAATGGGTGAAGCTCTGTCATCACTCATGGCATTTATAGGATTTCCCCCCAGTGTGAGTCCTTTCATGTGTATGTAGATTTCCACTCTGAGTGAAGCTCTTTCCACACTCCAGGCAGGTATAGGGTTTCTCCCCAGTGTGAATCCGTTGATGTGAACGTAGATGTCCACTCGTTGTGAAGCTCTGCCCACACTCCAGGCATTTATAGGGTTTCTCCCCAGTGTGAATCCTTTGATGTGAACGTAGATGTCCACTCTCAGTGAAGCTCTGCCCACACTCCAGGCATTTATAGGGTTTCTCCCCAGTGTGAATCCTTTCATGTGAACGTAGATTTCCACTCAGAGTGAAGCTCTGGCCACACTCCAGGCATGTATATGGTTTCTCCCCAGTGTGAATCCTTTCATGTGAACGTAGATTTCCACTCGTAGTGAAGCTCTGGCCACACTCCAGGCAGGTATAGGGTTTCTCCCCAGTGTGAATCCTTTGATGTGAACGTAGTTTTCCACTCACAGAGAAGTTCTGGCCACACTCCAGGCATGTATAGGGTTTCTCCCCAGTGTGAATTCTTTGATGTGAATGTAGATGTCCACTCTTAGTGAAGCTCTGCCCACACTCCAGGCATGTATAGGGTTTCTCGCCAGTGTGAATCCTTTGATGTGAACGTAAATGTCCACTCTCAGTGAAGCTCTTTCCACACTCCAGGCATGTATAGGGTTTCTCCCCAGTGTGAATCCTTTCATGTGAACGTAGATTTCCACTCCGAGTGAAGCTCTGCCCACACTCCAGGCATGTATATGGTTTCTCCCCAATGTGAATCCTTTCATGTGAACGTAGATTTCCACTACGAGTGAAGCTCTGGCCACACTCCAGGCAGGTATAGGGTTTCTCCCCAGTGTGAAACCTTTGATGTGAACGTAGTTTTCCACTCCAAGTGAAGCTCTGGCCACACTCCAGACACGTATAGGGTTTCTCCCCAGTGTGAATCCTTTGATGTGAACGTAGACTTCCACTCTGAGTGAAGCTCTTTCCACACTCCAGACACGTATAGGGTTTCTCTCCCGTGTGAGTCCTTTGATGTTGCTTCAGATTACCTCTCTGAGTGAAACACTTCCCACATTCCAGGCATATAAACGCTTTCTCCTCCATGTCAGCCATGATATGGGTGTTTGATTGCAATACAGATGCTTCAGTCAGTCTTTTTTTCCTTCCTTGTCTGTATGTGAGGTCAAGATTTCAGGAAGACCCTCACCTAGAGAGAAGTTCTTCTTCCAATATTATTGATTTCATTGCTGCATCCAAGGGGTGGCTCCATAGAATCCTCGTTTCCCTGGTTAAGAAAGAAGCAAAAGATCAAGGATGAAGGCGAGAAACTTCCTTTACCTCCACGATTTTCCCCTTTCCCTTCATGGGTCATGCTGAAAATGGAAACACCCAGAAACGCAAACATCAGGGTCTTCAGAGATTCAGTTGGACAATGAAGCAAGTGGAGTGTCTCTATCCCTGTGGAATAATGTCCAGGATGGGAGAAAGAACCCATGTCTGCTTGAAACAGGTGTGAATGGCCTTCTTTGTTTTCAAATAAATGAAAATACATTAAAAATAATGCCCTTGTAATTAATCCTTTACTTTGGCTAGCTGCCCGAGGCCTAAGGGAGTGGGCCTAGCGAAGCCACGGCATCCATTTTAGGAAAGGGAAGCGAGGAGAAGCCATTTTAGGTTAGGTTTTGCCTTAAGGGGGCATGTTCAAGTATTGGAGGGAAAGTTAGAAGGCTAGGGTTGGTTAGAAAGACGGGGGCGGAGCCTAAGTGGTTTAGATGAAAAATGTCTCTTTTAAACTGAGGCTTGATGTCCCAGTTTGCGAGTTAGCGTTTGGAGCTGTTAGGGAGAAGTGTTGGTGTTAGTGAGGGCGAGTTTGGGTTTGAAGAAGATGATTAGGGTTAGTCTTTTGTGTAGTATTCAGAAGAGCTATTGAGTAGGAGCAGCACCCTGTTAGTGGTCTGTTCAATTCCTAAGGAAGGAAGTCTAGGCTAGATTCCTAAGGGGCATTTTTGGGAGTTACTATCAGAGATTAATTTCCTGAAGTAATTTTCTGTGGTGGAGCTTTTAAGACTTGTAACCCAGAAGTTTTTAAGATCCTTACTCTAAGGTAACCATAAGCTTTTATACCAGTATTTTACTGAAACCATTAAGCATTTGTACCTGAATAATTCAAGCCTGTTCAATAAACGTTCTTGTTATTTTTATCAACTTATACCAGCCTCAGTGTGAATACCTTTGTGGTCAAAGCATTACTAAGGACAGCTTCACAGCAGCTTTTCAGAACCTATAGTGACACAGTGTGGGTCACAGAACAATCTGTCAATATAACCTCAGCCTGTATGAATAATAGTAAGATGGTGGAAATCTTTTGAGGAATCAGTGGTTCCCAGTTCCTCACTTTTAAATATGCAGTTGGTTCAGTAACCATACTTCCTCTACCTTTTGTGCGCTTCATAATTTTGGCTGAGCAAAGAGCGTTTGGGAATTATTTTATATATATTCCCCTGTCTCAATAATTTAATTACAAATCTTACTCTTGTCTTGTACTTCCTCGCTGCTGGTGGGTGGTGTGGTTGTTAAAGCCCTTAAAAAATTAAGCAATATATAGAACACAAATATCGATTACTAAGATACACAAAGTATTATGTTCTTGTTGTTGAAACTGCAAATATGATGTCATATGACAGGTTTATTACTTATAAACACAATATAGAGGAACAACTTATCTTAATGTAATGCAATATAATACTAATAATAACATGATATTATAATTATATATTTATATTACATGTAATATTACTAATAATATTACAATATAATTGGTATAGTACAATATAGCAATATTTAAAACTGATATTGTACTATGCTAATAATATAATATATTGTATGTATATATACCTTGTAAGCTGCTCTGAGTCCCCTTCGGGGTGTGAAGGGCGGCATATAAATGTCGTAAATAAATAAATAAATCATGGATAAATGTCCATATTCATTTAGATAAACATAATAGTCCAATCTGTCTGATGATTGAAAGAATCGCTTGTAGATGTTTTTGAAGGACTATTTGTGGCATCCAAGGTTGTGTCAGAGAAGAGTTCTACACGGGGGCCAGGTTACAACAAGGTATCCCGGGTGGAGTTCCATGTTTTAGGTGTTGGTGATGTAAACACCTTCTTCAGGTAATGAATCCTTCTCAATATTTCAACAGGAAACAAATCTCCGATACTACAATTACATGTATGAAAAGAACAACAACATACATAAAATAGATATGCTATAGCACCCCTATTATTATGTTAAAGTTAAATCAATACATAACTAATACAAGATAGTCAAAGTAATGTTCACATGACTTACATTTCATTAAGTAAACACAGGCTCTGCTGCAGGAGATTCTGTTGCGAGCAAATGCTCTTAGTCCTGGTGGGCCTTAAATACATGTTACAGAGAACAAGTGAAATCAAGTTTGTCATTAAGGCCCTGAGGGACGAGCATTTGAAATGTAAAAGTCCAGAAAGCTTTCCTTTGGAGAAGTAGTTTCTTCATATCTAAATGAGGTCTGGTGTGTAGTTTTTCCAAAGCACAGAACCTGAAACTGTAACTTGAGTGTGCCTTTTCCCTAATGTGCATATATAAGGTGGAGTCAGTATTCCCATTCTTAATCCGAGAACGGTGTTCATACATTCTAGTTCTCAGGGGCCTGGTGGTCATCCCAATGTACAATAGGTTGCAGGGACATTGAATCGCATATATTACATTCTCTGAAGAGCATGTTGTATGATCTTGTAGGGAAACTGTGATATTACGAGTTGGATGTGTGAAATACTTTTGTGTTTAACATTTGACCACAGCAGTCACAATGCCTGCAATCAAAGTTTCCCTTAATTATTTCTTGGGGGTCTGTCTTCCATGTTATAAAATCCAAATGAATCATAATGTCCCGCAAATTTCCTCTATATTGTGTTTCTAAGTAATAATCCTGTCATATGACATATCTGAAGTTTCAACAACAATAACATAATACTTTATGTACCTTAAAATATTAACACAACCAAGTCTGAGTCCGCGAATCCAAATCACAGTCCAGAGTTCCAGTCCAAGGTCTCTTCATTAAGAATTCTCACGAGTCATTACAGCTGATGCTCAGCCAGCTGCCCGAATGCTTGGTCCCAGAGTCAAGGCCCTGATTTCATTGGGGAGTGGCAGCTTTTTGATTGGCTGCGACTGTAGTACAATTTGCATATGGTCTCTGATTGGCCAGCCTCAAGATTCCAACATTCTCAAGTGGCTGAGAGGGGAAAGGAAATTTGCATATGGTTTCTGATTGGCCAGCCTCAATATTCTAACATTCTCAAGTGCATGACAGGGGACAGGAAAGCGCCTCGGGGATTTGCAGTAACTACACTCACTTTCTGTGACCACTGTGATACTCATCCAATGACCAAGACCAAACTTGGCACACAGAGCCCGCATGACCCACTCTACATCCTACTGCAGTTTGGAGGAGGATGGACCATGCATGATTGGACTTACAAAACCTTTACTCACTTCCTGAGACCACAGCAACACTAATCAATTACCAATAAAGATCAAACTTGGCACACAGAGCTCTCATGACCCACTCTACATCCTGGTGCTGTTTGGAGGACAGACTTACAGACTTATGATGGGACTTACAGTACCTTCTCTCACTTCCTGAGACCACAGCAACATTTATCCAATTACCAATAAAGATCAAACTTGGCACACAGAGCCCCCATGACCCACTACATCCTACTGCAGTTTGGAGGAGGATGAACCATGGATGATGGGACTTGCAGTACCATCACTCACTTCTGAGACCGCTGTGGCCTTCATCCAATGTCTGATCAAGACCAAACTTGGCACATAGACCTCTCATGACCCACTTTATGCCC